TAGATAGATAGATAGATAGATAGATAGATAGATAGATAGATAGATAGATAGATAGATAGATAGATAGATAGATAGATAGATAGATAGATAGATAGATGGATAGATAGATGGATGGATGGATGGATGGATGGATGGATGGATGGATGTGAGTATACTTGTTCAAGCCACTGCATGCATACAGAACAGGCCTGTGTTTGAATTCAGTTTTAATATTCAATCTTTATTTGCAAATGAAAAAATGGAAATGGAAGTGTTGCAGGAATTGCATTAACTCATATGTGATGAAAGCTCAGTGGTTTGTGGTGTGTGCGTGAGCGTAGGCAACGTTTTCTTTACAGCATGTTTTCAGTGTCGAATAGATTATCTGCTGGGAGAATACAGAAAGCTGCACCTTACTCAACCAATGAATGAAACACAAACTCCATGCCAGATTTACAGAAAAATCAGAGTTACTCACTCACCTGGAGAAACTTTCAGATTGATGGTGACGTATTTCCATGAGCCTGTTTCTGCTATTTTAACACGACACTTGTATGTTCCAGAGTCAGCAGTGGTCACTTTCTTCACAATCAAAGACGCGTCTCCACCCTTCATCTGTCTGGGAGCCACTCGGTTCTTATATGATGGATGCTGGTTGTTTGGAACAAAACGCCCATCCTGGAACAAAAACACGTTTTTCTGTCCCAGGCCAGCTCTGCTCCACTCTACAGCTGAGATCTTATTTGTGACTTGACAGGGCAGAGTGACGTCCTGCCCAGACACAGCTATGATGTTTATCTGGACTAGAAGAGGAAACAACACAGGGCGGGGAGGTTAACGGTCATCGTACAATTATGAGCAGAATTATTGACCTTTTGTTTAATTGTTGTTTATTTCTCCCCTGTGAATTGAACACACTCGCATAAGACAAGGACTTTCAGAATAAAACAGGAAACTAACAGACAGGGGACCAGACAAAACACTGAACTGAACAGACAGACTCACGAGCAGACACAGTAGTGACACCATGGACAGACAGAGGGAACACAGGCAGGTATAAAACAAAACTCTAACACACAGCACACCTACACACAAGACATAACAGAATAAACAAGAACATAGAATAATATAAAGAGTCCTCAGACTCGGGACCATGACAGAAGGTGGTTTGCCTCTTTCAAGAGTGCACTGCCATGGTAACTAGTGCTAACGTTTAACTAGCTAACTTCACTTATGCTGTGAACATAACCTGCTTTGGATCAGATTAAGATCCAGATTAGAGATCATCAGGTTTGAAACATCTATGGACCATTCAGTTCTCCAGAAAATAAATAGCATAACTACTCCTGGATGATCCCTCAGTCCTCTCCGTGCAAAGAATGGGAGGGTCTAATTTTGTTTTGTTTGTTTGTAATTGGGTCTAATGTCTTTGTTTCCCTGATGAGCATCAGTAATAAATAATAAATAATGTCAAATTTTAGATTCAACTTTATCCTGTGATTTTCTATTTTTATATTCTGTTAGAGGCAAAGACATTTTAAAACAGTTGTAGTGGTTCTAAAAGTGTTAATATCTGATCGAAAACAAAGTACCTGCACTTTGCTTGTCGAGCTCATATTAAATTTTGACAAAGACAAAGTTTGAATGCAGGTTTTGTATTTAATCTTAAACAGCACAGAGTCAGTATTTAATCTTTGTCTTTTTATCCCCTGACTGATTATCCTGACGTCCAATGTCAGTTTGAATAAACTCAGCATACCCTGGATGTTGATATCACTTCCTAGAACAGGGCCCAGGTCACTAAGGACCATCTCTGGGTAAATTTCTGCCTCATGCTATATTCGCAAAGTGTCAGAAACTACAACCTGTTAGCTTCCATAGAACAAAATCATGTGCTGTCAACCTCTGACCAGCTCATCCATACAGCAAACAAACATCAACAACCAGGAAGCAGCTTCACCTCTGATCACACACACACTCGACTCTACTCACTCACCTGGAGGATCAACTCTCAGGTTGATGATGGTGAACTTCCATGAGCCTGTTTCTCTCAAAAAGACACGACACTTGTATGTTCCAGAGTCAGCAGTGGTCGCTTTCTTCAGGATCAAAGACGCGTCTCCATCCTTCATCCCTCTGAGAGCCACTCGGTACTTATATGATGGATGCTGGTTGTTTGGAACAAAACGCCCATCTTGGTACAAAAAGACATTTTTCTGTCCCAGGTCAGCTCTGCTCCACTCTACAGCTGTGATGTTATTTGTAACGCGACATGGCAGAGTGACGTCCTGTCCAGACACAGCTATGATGTTTATCTGGACTGAAAGAAAAAACAACACAGAGCAGAGAGGTTAAAGGTCAACATACAATTATGAGCAGCATTACTTTAAATATGTTGTTTACTTTAAGTAATTTTAACATCTCAACATCCATCAGTGTCCTGTACTATAAAGCAGCATTTGGGTTCATTGTCAACATTGGGTTTTCAGTGCTAAGAAAGTGGTTCGCATCTAATATGAGTGTATCACCATGGTAACTTACGCTAACTTTTAACTAGCTAGCTTATTGTTACCTCACCAGATCCACGGCCCCGATCCATAGTAAGGAGCGCACTGTCAAGTGACGCACTTCAAGGACAGTTTCCCGTCTCAAATCTCTGATTTTCTGCATTATTCATTGGCTTATTACCCACCAGTCTACTGTTGTGTACACCGCTCTTGGCCGCTGTCTTTCATTTTTAAGGCTATCTGCTATAAAAAGCCAGGCCAGGAAAACCTCATTCATGTTTTTCTGTGTTTTATTCTCAGTTACTTTCACACAAAGGCATCTGCTGCTGTGATGTTCCCACCTCTGATGAAGTCTCACATGTATCAGTGCTGATAAATGATCAGAATTATAATATTTCTGACTGTCTGAGGCAAAAAATGAATCGAATCAAAACCTTGTGAATCAGAATCTAATGGATTATAGAAATCAGTGATGATACCCAGTCCAAGTGAGTAGCCTAGGCCTGACAGAAGTGGATGTAGCTGTGTGTAATCGGAAAAGATGAAAAGAACTATTGATAACTTTTTGGTTAAGGCCTGGTCCGTCTAAAATTCATAACCAGTGCTCTGACACAGAGCCATTAACCTCTGAACGCTAGAAAAAGCACAGTGTATCCAGAAAACACACCATAAATGCACTGCCCAAGTGTCCCCTCTCCCCATTGCCTTTCAGCGGCATGCAACAGCAAACAGGTCGTCAGAGGAGTAGTGATGTTTCAGTTACGAACGAAACAGCTCTTAGAGCCGGATCTTTGAAGTGAACGACGCGAGCCGGGTTTTTTTTTTTCCTCTCACCCTCTCTCTCGCACTTTTTTTCCCACTTCACTCTGCACGCGAGCCTTGTGCTTATGGATTCAGAAAGTTTATTCATGCAGGCCCATATGACAGAGAATATGCATCTTCTTTTTGTTTTCATATTTTAACTTCATATTTAATTGTGTTGTAGTTTGCAGTGTTTTGTATTGTTTCACTTTAAACTGGTTTAAAAGGAAAAAGCTGAAAATTTATATGAGTGCTTGTGTATAAATACACAAACAACACACGTATGCTTTCAATTGTGTAATTTAAGTGGTCTGGGCAGCTCTGTTTTGGAAGTTCAGTTGACGCTAGAAATGTGTTTTGGAGTTTGCACGTGCTTTGTCTATATTTATACATAAACATATATAAATAAAACCACAGTATTTTTTTACATTAGTAATTCCTTTTGTGCATAATTTTATATTTTTGTTAATAATGAATTAATTAAAGCAACAAAACCAACTGAATAGACGGTTGGGAGTCGGAAGAGTCGGCTCTTTTTAGTGAGTCTTGCCGAAAGAGCCAGTTCTCTAAAAAGAGTTGGAAATCCCATCACTACAGAGGAGGCCGATATCATGATTAAGTTTAATATTGTCTACAATATTGCCAAAGAATTTCAAAGCACTTTAAGCACAAAATTGTTAATTAATCATTTACAAGTCAACACTGTCTGTATGGACATCAAATTCCCCCCCAAAGAAGTGCACATGTAAAACTGCGGTGTTTGTGTTTCCTGTTATGCCGTTTTTCTTCGGTAGCTACTCGTAATCCCTTTCCCCCGCTCCCTTCCTCTCTCTCTCTCTCTCTCTCTCTCTCTCTCTCTCTCTCTCTCACACACACACACACACACACACACACACACACACACACACACACACACGGCGAGGGCGGGCCGTCCCGCACATCCTCCCCACAGCCCGGAATACATTTCCCTTCAAGGGAAGGGCATAACATTGTGAAATGTGAACCTAGCCAACTTCTGCTTCCACAGAACAACAACATGTGCTCGTGAAACGTGAACATGTGTGAGAGAAAGCAGCCTCTCATTATCAGACACTGAGTCTCTGCATGCTGCCTTTATGGAGCTACAGCTGTTTGTATACACTGAACAAAAAGCTTTGTAGCTGCATCCTGACTCCTGACACTACAACACATCACACTGACACACACATTACACTTCTTTGTCTCTGTCACAGCTGGATTACAGATGTTAACTCAGCCCCGTTTCGTCTTCGTCTACTTATCGTTTTCTCAGAAGGGCATCATCTAACAGTAAATCTCACCTGCAGAGACGACCACGAAGACGCTGAAAAACAGCAAAGTTGAGCCGAGCGAGACACTGACAGCAGACATTTCTTAACTCCAAACTTCAGAGTCAGAGAGAGAGAGAGAGAGAGTGATGTGACGTCAGGCTGGCTGGACCCGAGCCCACCAATGGGTCCGCTGGTCTGAAAATCTCTGGACAAACAAACGTTACGTAGTAATTTACGTCCTCAGGTTGTGATGGTTTGAGCAGCTGTTTGTAACGAATCTGACCAAATCAGTTTTCCCCTTTTAAAGACTCTAAATTATTGGCATATTTGTTACAGAGAAACTTATATTTGGGAGTAAATGTATGCAAAAATTAAATAAAATAAAAAAACTAGACACCTTTTAAAATGTTGTCCCTGAAAAAATGTGTTGTGTAGTTAATGAGAGATGTTTACTTTAGGCCAGTCTGTTTGTGTTTCCTTATTGGCAGATAAAGTTTGATTTGGAAAAATTAACAAAACATATTTTTTAAATCTTGTAATGCAAAAAAGAAAAATGATGGTGCACTAAAAGCTTTACGTTTCTTAGTGTTAAATAATGTTACTTTTAAAAAACAGCCACCGTTAATCTGATCAGTTGAGCAACATTATTGCATAAATGTGACGAGGAAATGAAAGTCGCCCAGTTTTCATGAGAAAGCTCTTCTGGCTCAGTTCCAGTGTGAGAGTGTTCACACTCAGCCTGTGAGGGATCAGGGCTGTCACACGCAGACATGCTGAGGCCTTTACGTCTGCATTTATGATGAATTTGTCTAATGAGAATGACCACAATTGTATCATAAACCATGAGGAGACACGTGGTAGTTCAGATATTGAAGAAACTCTCTTTACCTTTATTCAGACCTCTGTTCTGCTCTACACTCTGCTGCTCCTCTTTCTCTGTGTTCATGACATACTTACACCAGAAGCTCGGTGGGAACAAAAACAGGGAAATAAATCTATTTGTAGTGAGGATTGTTAAGAAAAGAGTTGGATGTTTTTCTTTCTTTCTTTTTACAGCCTCACTTCCTGCCTGTGCATAACCATTAGAATATATTGATGCCATTACACTTTGGATCTCAGCCTTTAAGTGGATGGATGGACTACACTGATCTTCATTCACAGAAAACATTCACAGTACCTCTCACACAGATAACCATTCTTACACTTAAATGCTGTTGATGGAGGAGAAGAAACCGTCCACAGCTTTCAGTCTCCACATTTGAAGCTCTGCAGGAAACCCTGACAGCAGCTTTTTAGCTCCAAAGCAGGTTTAGCTCTGGTGCAGAGTGTTGGTGACTCTGCCCGTGGACACAGTTATTTCTGCAGGTCACCTTGTTACAGGTGCATTTGGAGGAGACTCAAAGCTTTGTGGCAGGGAGTTTACTGCAGACTGCAGCCTGTTTAATAGCAAGCATGATGTGAGCCTGATGTGGCTGATAGCTGCTTCTAGCAGTCTTCATGTATGTGGAATGAGAGGGGAGATGTCATCAGGACCAGTTGCTGATTGGACGTCTCAAAGCTGTGAGCGCTGAAACTTTGTCCTGTAGCTCTTCACTCAGTCCTCACCCTGAGTGTTCAGAGCCCAGCCCCACATATTCCTGCTCCTCAGGAATTCTGGGATTTGGATGAAACACAGCTAAACTGACCTGAAGCTAACACGGAGGTCAAGGGGGAGGAGCCACAATACAAGCTGCATCCAGCCAATGGGTGCACTGTTGCCCCTGAGCCCATGGATGTGCAGAGGGTCACATGTTTAGTCCCATTTGTAGAAATGTGTCCATGATGAAGACAAATGCAGTCACACAGCTCTGCAACAGCACAAATCACTTTGATGGAGTTTGTTTGTGCTGCTCTCAGATCTGTACAAGATGTGTGTCAACATGCTGCAGACTCACACAGATGTGCTGTGTTAGCTTCATGTGTCCATCTATCACAAACATGCTGCTTCTTCTAACAGGAAGGACTCAGCCGTGTCCACAGCAAAGTAGAATCAAGGCTTTAACCAGGCTTTTATTGTGAAACACTGAACATGTGGAAAAGTCAGCCTGAAAGTCAGGGAGAGAGTGGGCAACGATCCCACAGGAAAAGAATGAAAGAGAGAAGACACATCCAGGGAGGAGAGAGATGGAAGCAACATGTAGCAGCTGATGAAGTCAGGCGGGTGGGCTGTGCACACAGAGGACTTTATGATCTGGTTCTCAGCTTCACCTCTCCATCGCCCTCCCCACGGCTACACTACAGGTGAGCTGACACATCCATCAGTGGAGGCTGTGGTGGAGCAGCAGCTGAAGCAGGTTCATTCGTGTTGATGGTTTACAGGTTTCCTTGGTCAAAGGTCACTCAGACCTTTGACCAAGGAAACCTTTGAGATTCAGCTCTGTGATTTCACCTTCTACTGATGGAGTGTAGACCACATCACCTTCACAGAGGACGACCACACAGTCGCCCGTGTGCAGGCCGATGAGTTCAGTAGCCAGCGACTGAAGATGTTAGCGTAGCTTACCAGTGACAGGAGCCAGTGGTTTTTCCCAGCTGATCATGATGGATGCATCTCCCACTTCCTCCACTTCATGCTCCTTGGGATCATCAGCTTCTATGAAACAAACGTTGATGCATGACACAAACTGTATTTCAGTCTGGCTGCACTTATTTTTAAAATTAAGATGACGAGAAATAAAACCAGAAATGGAGTCAGAACATAAAGTACGAGTGTTCGCACCTGTTGTTTGTCAAGTAGTAAGAATGAGGTTGTCCTCGCCTCCCTCAGGAACCTCGCAGACATTAACAGTGTACCAGAGGTAGCTGTGCAGGACACATCTGACAGAAACAAATCTGTGATGAGCAGAAGTTGTAATCAGGCAAGATTTCAACACACAACACTTTTGAACTGAACTTGTAAATGTCTGAATCTGCCCCTGCCAAGAACAACAGGTGCTCAATGAGCCCGTACTCCACTCTGAAACCTGAAACTGTGTCCAAGGCTGCTGGAGGTCATATCGCTCACAGACTACAGGACAAACAGAGAAAGTCAGAGATTCGTTACTCAGGACAGTCTCATACATGCATTCACTGAGGTGACTCAGCCAGCCTCTCTTAACTTACACGATCCATAAGTGGTGGTGAAGTCAAAATTCATACCAGAGATGGTGTAGGAGTTTAGATGGCAAGGCCACCTCTCTCCTCGGGCTGTGAGATAATTGACTGAAGGACAGTTTACAGGCTGAAATTATTACACATGAAAAAAATACATTAAGTTTAGCCCAATCATAGAGGAAGAGGAAACAAATCTAAAAAAACAAACCCTTTCCACTCTCCATTTAAGGATGTACTGGGTGATGATCCACTGAATAGGGAGTCTGGTTGGCTTCCTGATTCTGTGATGATCACCTGGACGGGACGGGGACCACCTGAGACAGAGACACAGGAGTAGAGACAGCTGCTTTACCACTGAGGAGAACAGTCACATTGGTTCTCCAGAGTGGGAAATCATTTTGTTAAACCAGTAGCTTTACATAACCCAGTTTAACAGTGAGTGGGTGTGTGGGAGGATTTTCCTGAACAGAGCAGAGAAAAAGGTGAGATCCCAGCACAGTTTCCACCGTAGTTTACGATTTTTCCTGTTTCTCAGAAAGAAGCTAACAAAGTGCAAAAACACTTTAAAAACTGACACCAGTATAAAGCTTGTAGTTCTCTTACAGTGTTACCTGACATATAAAACTTATTCTTCCACCACGAACAGCTTGTGTTGCTATATAGTCTCTTTTCCATCCAAGAAACATGTTTCACTGCAAAATTAAGCATCAAACTTCACTATATTCACCCAAACAGATCCACAGAGGACGCATCGCCCACGTCCTGCACACCACTCTCAGCCACGTGGACAAAAAACAGTGTAACTATGTGAGACTGCTGTTTGTAGATTACAGCTCAGCGGTGAAACACAACAGTGCTCGGCAGACTGTTCACAAAGCTGAGGACAAATGAAAGAGAATCAGAAACGTTTAAAGCAGCAGATCAACGGTAAAATACACACCTGCCAAGAACAGGCTGCAAGTGTCACACACTGATGTGGCAGTGATATCAGACGCAAACATTACCGTGTACATCATTACACGCTGCCTACAAACACTCAGTTTACCTGCACAGCTCCTGTTACAGCTGCACTTTGAATCTCGAGTCAGAATTATTTCAGAATACTTTATTAATCCCTGAGGAGATTATGCGAGGGAAATGGGGTTAAAGGGGGAGACTGCTGCAGACTTTGGGGTAGCAGCAATAGCTGTAGCTTGTTTGATGTACTACAGCACCACCCTGTGTTAGAAATGAGTCATGGCAAAAAGCAGACTTCAAGGTTGTCTGAGGTGCAGTTTGACCTGAACTTTACAAACAGAGAACGACTTCACACAAATCTCTGGATCTCCTGATCAGACACGGTGCAGGCTTCACCTTCAGGTGTACAGACTGTGTAGGACGGGGCTCCACGAGTTACAACAACAAAGGATGTACCACTAAAAGCATGCACTGTGTATCCATGTGTCTTCAGTAGGGTGGAGTTCATATCAACACTGTGTGCACACCTCACTTTGTAGTTCTTCTAGTGTGAATTTATGAATAAAAGTGGAAAAAGTTCAACAAACGCAGTCAGATTTACCTCCAGCCTGCATCTGCACCCCGGGGGTCATGTGGATGAACTCTGGCCTCTCTGTGAGCTTGGAGCCACAGATAAACCCCATCACAGAGTCCGAGTGCTCCTCTGCCATTTGCACCTGTGAAACACAAAACAGCTGTAAGCTGTATGAAGGCTGATGTGTAGTCCTGTAACACATATAGAAAAGAACCATCAGCTTGTTTGTTACATGTACAGACTGAAGGTTTGAGGTGATCCTGCTGTACCTCCAGGATGTCTACATGGGTCTTCAGCATGCAGATCTTTGGACCGAGCGACTCGGCCAGCTGCAGCAGCTCCTCGCTGTTGGTTACATCAGCAGACACACAAAGGCTGGACTGCTTCTCCTCCATAATCTTCAGCAGCTTTGATGCTAGAAGGTAAATGTCTGCAGATAAAAGAAGGAACAAATGAAGAAGGAACAGAAAATGAGAAACCAAAGAAAACACCACCAGTCTCTGTTTGGACTTTAAATAATTAAGGTTTTAAAACTACATACTTGCTAACTCGGCTCTTTCTGAATAACTAAGCTGCTTCTTACTGGCAGGAGAGTCGCTGCCATTCTTGGGGCTGAGAGAGAGTGAAGGTGACAGAGTTACTGTACTGATTTTTTGTTCCTGGATTGTGAAGCAACACAAATAAACACATGAGCCCCACTGAGGGGGAAACTCTGTAAAGTTGTACCTGAAAGTGTTGCTGTCCCGGATGAACTTGTGGACACTCTGGGCGGTTTAAGCGTCGATGCGTTCGGCTGCCTGCAGCACACGGAGCAGCTGAGACATGGAGATGATGGGATGGAGCTTGATTCCCTTTGAAGCCAACATCTCCACACCACCTTGCTCTCTGTCCATTAGGACCACTGCATCCGTCACCTTGAATAAAAACATGTCAGAGGTCATTCTTGTGTGCTGCTGCTCTTGCTGACATCAGTGCAGCGTAACGATCGTATCTTTGCTGTAACGTTAGATTCTGGACCTTCTTTGCAGAGCCCTTCAGCCGTCTCCAGGATGCTGGTGCCGCTGGTCACCGTGTCCTCAATGATCAGGCACGTGTCCCCCTGACGCAACGACCACCAGCCGTTTGGTTCCTGAAGCAGGGTTACAGAAGGCAAATTACGAGTCCATACTGAAGGACAAACTTCCACTTATTCTCAAACTGGGAAATATTAAACAACAATATCACAGACACAGTTAACTATCTGACTGCACTGGATACCTGTGGGTACAGCCTGAAGCGTCAGGCTTTTCAAACATGTGGAATATAAGTCTGTTAGCCTTTTGAAAATCAGTTGAGGGCGGCTCACCATAGTCTTTGGCCTCCTTCTGCCTGATGACCAGGGGCAGCTCATACCGTGAGCAGGTCACTGTGGCCAAAGGCAAGGCTGTGTAAGTGGAACTGCAGCCCCTCTTCTTGCACTCGCTCGTAGATGAGACTCGCCACCTGGAAGAAAAAAATATATATAAAGGAGAGAAAAATGAGCAGTTTAGAGTGATGTGCTGCAGATGATGAACTTTTAATAAAATGTTCATTAAAAAGCTGATACATTTAAATGATCAGCTGTTTAAGGCTGGACAGTTTGAACTGCTCGTCCTTATCTTATCCTGAGTGACCTGAAGAGGAGCTGCAGAAAGCTGCTGATTCATATAAGCATCATTGAGGCTTGAGTGAGTGATTAGCTGCTGACAGGTCCAGTCTGATCTGTTTGAACTGCCTCACGCTGTGTGAAAGGAGGAGTTCCCTGAAACTCAACCATTAAGTATTAATGTTACACAGGAGCTGACGAGTGCCTGCACAGACACATTTGCCTTCAGAAAGTGCATCCAGCAGACGTTTCCTGTGTTCGGTATCGCTTTCAGCTGTTCTGAAGTCAGTATGCTGTGCAACCGTGAAGGCAGCACGTGGTTACCTGGTGCGTGAGCGCGGGGTGGGACACGAGCACCCTCAGGTGGATATAAATGGGTGCCAGCAGGCCGCTCTTCAGCTTGTATTCTCCAAACTTCACTCCGTTCACGTCGTGGAGCTTCAGGATTAAACTGTCAGTGGAAGCGCTACCAGGAACCCTTGCGCCAAATGTTTCAGAATAAAAGCGTCAATGTATGTTTTGAGAGCATTTAATGTTTACAGATAAAACGTCACGTAGGTCAGTGAGCATGTGTGATGAAGCCTGGTAGAAAGAGTCGTTGTCTGTGAAAGTTAAAATGAACCTGATGGCAGACATGTTTCATTAACACCTCAACATAAAGAAGTGCTGAGGGGTGTTGGCAATGAATGTGAGCCAGAGATCAGTGGATGAAACCATCAGAAGCTCATGTTCTGCAAAAAGAGAATACGTTTTTGTTTTCTGAAGCTATTCTGGACATTTTTAAAGTCTTCAGCATGAAGTTGTCGTTCATCGTACTGTGAGGTTACAGGCTAGACTGCTTAATAATGGCCTCCAAGTTTAACCTGACACTTTTATTCATATTTACTTCATATTTGTATTCTGTGTCTCCAAAGTCAGAATACATTTTAGAGTCGCTGATTTGCAAAACAAAAGCTAAACTCGGTTCAGACGTGAGTTACAAGTTACAAAACAAAGATCTCAAACTAAAACCCACGTTCTCAGTCTGTCCCAATAAGTAAACACAGTGAAGCTCTGCTGTAAGTCTTTCTGACTGAATAAAGTCATACAAAGACAAACTTGCATTATGCAGCATTTTATTCAGATTGCAACTAATCCATGTTCAGATGTTTTTACGTCTGTTCTACTGTATTCTACTGGTTACACTTTTATTTTTCTTGATAAGAACTGATTTATGCTGAGGTACATCCTTATACTATTCAATGTGGAACAACGATATAACTCACTGATTTTCCATGTTGTTGTTGTAAACAACAGGAGGAGATTCATTGTCTGTGTTTTTGCCATGAGCGGCTGAGTCTTTGTGTGAATGCATGTATGCATCTTTTCAAGGAGCGTCAACAGCAGAGGGCCTCCTTTGTTTTTCGGACCTTATTGTCTCTATTTCCTCTCTCACAGTGTCTCCTCTGCCTCAGGCCAACAGTCAGGTGTTGAAAATACCTGCAGTTAACAGAGACATGCGACTCTTGAGACGGCATTTCAGATAGAAACACTGCTGAGCCTGAAGTGTTTCTGTCTACAATCACCAGATATCACAAGATACAAACACAGAAAGCTGTGTGTGCATCAATAAGAAGGCGTTACACAAAATAATAAATCTTCACCTTTATCATTTACAGCTTTCAGACTAAACTATAACTCTTTAAGTAACGGTGCACTCACTTCGTGGAACGCACTAAATTACTTTTATTTTGTTGTGGGTTAAACATAACCTAAGGTTTCTAACCAAGGTCCTAACACAATTTACAGTCCACAAGTAGAAGTCTGTGTAACTGTGTAAACAGTACACAATACAAGTAATGCAAGTAAACACTGACAGCTGTACCACAGCTATGTCTAGTTGTAGAATGCAGCTTCCATATTTAACAAAGCCCCAATATTTCTTCTTATACTCCTTATAATATTTCTTCAGAGTAAAAGATCTCTCAGCAGAATTATGCAACATTTTAGGCACACTATTGCCCCTATCAACTCAGTGAGCTGGGAGTGTTTATTCTAAACATGAACTACTGTTAAAGCAACACACATGGACTACTGGAGCCCCACACAACAACATCTATACTGTCCAGTCTCTCCTGGTGGACATGGCATCACGTTATTCATGGTTACAAACAATTTTAGACTGATGTGGGCCAAGCCCAGCACATACTTGCCAGCATTGAGACCTCAGGTGGAAGCTGCGCCCACCCGAGGACCCGCCCTTCGCGGTCTAAGTGGGCGGGTCATACGAAAGCCGGTTTGGCCGGAAGTGAGCGACTGTGACGATCCAGCCTTCAGAATTACGTCACGAGCTCTCTCGGTGGAGTGACACTGCCGTCTGCTCCTTTTTATCTAAAATATAACCGGACACTGGCGTAAATTCTCGACCGTGTCGTTCTTCTGTTTAATCAGTTTTCTGTTCGTTTATTCAGCTGTGTGAAAACCCCGGAGGAACCTCCCGAGGGATTAATAAAGTTTTATTTAATCTAATAACTTTAATCTCAGCCAAACCGATTTACTCACGAACAAATAAAACACTGAAAAAGGCCAAACAATAACATGTTTAAGTTATTTAAGTAACTTTAGCGAAAGACCGCGGGAGTTTGCTGCTCTCACCGGAGCTCAGATATTTGAAGTTTGCACAGCTACATTCTCGCCTGAAAATACGCTAAAAGTTTATTTTGCGACCCAGAAAGAGAAATAAGAGTAATATTAAAACTAAGTAGCTGTAGTAATAGTAGCCATTGTTGGAAACTGGAATTGGCTGGGCCAATCTGGGATATGGTTTTTCAATTTTGTTGTCCAGGTGGGCAGAAACGGCCCTAACCAATCTGGCGCCCTAGGCAAGATTTTAGGTGGCGCCCCCCTACATCAGCAGTGTAGTGTAATGTTGTAACAAATAATATTTCTATTAAATAAGCTTTACTTTGCATTTTAATTAACGTGGGATTATGTTTTGTATTTAGAAATAATAGTACAAACTTTTTTTTTTTTCAACATTTGTGGCACTGGCGTGGCGCCCCCTGATGGACGGCGCCCTTAGCATTTGCCTATACGGCCTATGCCACGGGCCGGCCCTGCAGGTGGGAAATCGGGGGAAATCGGGAGATATGGGGAGAATGGTGGCTCCTGGAGAGGCACTGAAATTCGGGATTCCCACAGAAAAATCGGGAGTGTTGGCATGTATGGCCTAGCATAGCCTGTAACGTTATTATGACGGACACATTTTATGAGTGAACTTGACTTTAAGTGACTTACAGGTTTCTTTGAAAAATACTTTCTTATATCCAGGTTCTTCCTTTTTGCTGCCGTCCTCCTCGCAGCGGAGGGTTGCCGCTGCTAAAACTAAACAGAGCTCCCTGAAAGGCACAGCCAATCACATTTGCCGTATTTGTCACATGACGTAGGACTCCAGTAGAGGACGTAATTTAACTCTTTCTGCACCGCTGGGTGAATGAGACGCTGACAGATCGGGGTTTTTTTTCTTTCTATCGGGTTAGTTTTTCTTTACTCGAAGACATCAAATTATTGGTGGGGACATGTCCCTTCCGTCCATGCCAAATCTACGCCTTTGTTCAGCAGGAAATACTTCAACCAACAGATTTTCCTCATCATCATTTCCCCATAACCCTGTAATGACTCTTGAGTACTTTTGAGATTTAATTTACAACAAAATAACACAATAAAAAACAATAAAACTGTCAATCGTGCATAGAAATTACTTTCCTGCACCGGATTGTATTTTCACATGAACCTCTATGAGGTCAGATGTAGAAGGGTTTAGGGCTACAGTGCAAGTGTAAGATTGTTTGTTTCTGGGCAGGATTAAAGACAGAGAACAGAATCAGCATGAAAACAGCTGCAAAATGTCATATTGGTGGGTTTTGTGTGGGTGTTTTGTTTTACTTAACTTTGCTAATTAATAATCTAATTATTGGACTTGGACATGAGGTCAAGGACACTCTAAACCCAGGCACAATGTACATTTCAAATTCCTTTAATTTTAAATATGTTTATATTGTCTATTCTGTAAAATAGTCAGATGTCTTATTAATGTACAGAATTCACCTGCTTGCTGCTACTACTGCACATTCACCCAATGTGTATATACTAATATATATATATATATATATATAATGTTCTTCCTCTACCCCCCCCCCCCCCCCCATTTTTGCACATGTCGAGGAGCGTGTCAGGTTACATTTCCCTGTGTGTTATACTTGTATAACTATGCATGTGACAA